TGCATTTTAGTTAGTTGAGTTAGTTAGGTTATAAATATTAAAATTAGTGGTACTTCTGTGTACATCAAGTTTTTGGCGTCGTTGCCGGGGAACGACTTAGTTAATTATTAGTTTGTTTGCTTTAAATTAATCGATCATTTTTGTAGGGTAAAACCTGCAAGAAGTTATTTTTCTGTTTCATTTTTTTCTGCATTACAGGACGCATGACGTGAGCCTTATAGCTCACGACGTGAGAACTGAAGTTCTTAGTTTTATTTATTTTATTTTGTCTTTCTTAGTTCAGTTTTACGTTTTTATTTTGTTTTATTTCAGGAGTTCATGGCCAAAGGCTCTAAGACACCTTTGGTGCCACCACTTGAAGATCCTGAGTCTGCAATTCACAAAAAGAAGGATAAGAACGTGAAAGAAGATCAAACACCAAAGAAGACACATTTACAAGAATTCAAGTCAGTGGTCTCAAAGAAGTCGGGAAAGAAAACGGGGGAGTCAAGTTCATCTTCGAAGAGCAAGAGCAAGCTTGAAAACTTAGATCAAATACCCATCCAAACCGAGTCTCAATACGATACCGAGCCTGAATTTGAATTACATACAAGTAAACCCGAGAATGAGCCAAGGAACGAGATAGCGAACATTGAAGAAATGTCCATGGGAGATAACAGAAAGAGAATCTGAGATGATGTTGGTCTAGGCTTAGTACAACCTACCATTCCTGCCACTGTCACATTCGAGCTGAAATGACATATCCTTTCTGCACTAAAGGATATCCCATTCTATAGAAAAGGTCATGAGGATGCGTTCAAGCACTTAGATGAAGTGAATGATATTGCTGATTACTATAATTTCCTGAATGTTAACAGAGATATTATCTTGCTAAGGATGCTTCCCGTTACCTTAAAAGGAGCTGCAAAGGATTGGTTAAAAGCACTTCCACCTATTACAATCACTACTTTGGCTCAAATGCGTGAGCAGTTTCTAGACCAATTCTGTCCACCATCCAAGATAGCTAAACTCAAGAAGGCAATAGCTAATTTTGAGCAAAACCCGAGGGAGTCACATTACGAAACATAGGAGCGCTATAAAGGTTTGTTAAGGAATTGTCCTCAACATGACCTTAGCATTCAACAAGAAGTGTCCATATTCTATGACGTGGTAAATGTGATGACAAGACAACTCCTTGATTCTCTAGGACCACTTATAAAGAAAAATTCGATCGAAGTCAAGGAATTAGTTGAAGAATTTGCAAAACATTCTCGTGAATACCACAATCCAAGGAATGAAAGCGTGAAAGGATTTGGGGTGCACAAACTGAAGAGATGGCTACTGTGATGGCAATGCTTAACACTATGGATAGGAGATTGACTCAAATGGAACAATCAATTCATGCAATTCGAGTTGGTTGCGAGAGATGTAGTGGCCCACATTTGACAAAAGATTGCAATCTGGATGAATATGGAAACAAGAAAGCTCAAGTTTTCTATTCGAGTGGGGACAAATACGATGAGGATTGGATAAAATCAAAGAAGGAGTGGCTGCCTTACAATGAATACAAGAAGCAAAAAAGAATAGAAATTTAGGCAAACTAGTCGGGGCTTCTACCAAAGAGAGCAACCACCAGCTGAGAAGAAAGTTGATTTAGAGACCATGTTAATGAAGTTTATAGAAGCTTCAGAAAAAAGGCATGATGCTACTGATACTACAATGGAGGATCAAAGAACTATGATGAAGAATCATCATGTTATGATGATTGACCAAGAATCATTATTAAAAGTCAGCAAGCTTCGATCAATAACCTTGAAGTTCAACTTGGTTAACTTACTACTTTGGTAAATAAGAGATTGTCTCCACAAATTCTAAAAAAGAAGACCCAATCTCATGTCATGGCCATTGATACTGAAGAAGAGGCGATTTCTGAATTCCTAGAAGCTTTAGAAGTGGAGCCAAGGCCATCTGAACCAAAGCCTAAGAAGACAAAACTCGAAAACAAAGAATCTGCTGAAATACCCAGTTCACGTCGTGAGCCCGCTATGCTCACATCGTGGGCTCGGTCTTAACAGAATAATTTTGTATATGTTCCATCTTATAACCCACCTTTGCCATTCCCGTCTCAAGCACATCTTAGCCCACTGGAAAGGGAACATTTGGAGTTTATTCAACAAATAAAGGGTATTCCTATTAATACTCCTTTCATTGATTTATTATCCAAAATTCTCGAATATGCGAAGTTCCTATAAGACATAATAGACACTCGTCAAGAATTAAGGAAGAATTCCAAGGTCGTTCTAAGTGATAAAAGCTCAAGGTTGTATTGGGAGAGATACCTAAAAAGATGGGAGATCCTGGACGCCCCACTCTTCGATGTGAGTTTGGAAATAATTTGAAGACATATGCTTTAACCAATTTTGGGGCTAGCATAAATTTGATGCCATTTTCATTCTATAAAAAAATTAAATATTCAGAAGATGAAGGCTATGAAGATGACAATCCACATGGCAAATCGTTCAGTGACTCATCCAAGAGGGATAGTAGAAGACATACTTGTAAAAAGTGGGAAATTCGTTTTCCCAGTTGAGTTTGTAGTGATTGACATGAAAGAGGATGTGAATGTCCCCATCATTTTTGGTCGCCCTTTACTAAATACTGCTAGGGCTCTTGTCGATGTTCGAGAATCCAAGCTCACGTTGAGGGTTGGTGATGAAGAAGGACTACAAGATGGTTTCCAAGGATATGATGTTCAAGGTGAAGTGTTCAATATTGAAGATGACAACGAGCTTGCAGAATTGGAGAAACTTATGGAAGAAGAAATTAAAACAATTCAGTAAGTCAAGCACACCAAGCCAAGAGCTTCTATGCCACTTGTATCCGTGGTGTTTGCTTATAAAATACCAACATCTTGGGTGAGTAAGGAAAATGGTGACATATCTAGTGATGAAGAGGAGGTTACATCAAAGGTGACTAGCCAAGTGGTGAAGGAGGAGGAGGATATTATGAAGCTTAAAAATGATGAAAAATTGAAGACTCTAGGGATCAAACGCAAGCTCGATGGAAACGAAGTCAAGGCTAAAAAGGAGAATTCTAAAAAGGCGTATATTCATCGAGTGCAAGCTTACAAGAGGCGTTTCAAGGAGCAAAAGATCCTGATGGTGGAGTCATCTGAAGATTCAACGTAGGAGGCATGGAGTCCAGCTCACGACTCCTCAAAAAGAAGCACTTCTCGGGAGGCAACCTGAGTTTGGTTTGCGTTTTCTTTCTTTTTCTTTTTTCATTTTTAGTTTTTAGGAAATCGATCATATCATCCGAATCACTATATACATAATTAAACACTGAGTGTAAGGTCCCTAAAAATTAAGTGGTTATAATTAAGAATCTAGTTAATAAACAAAGTTGGAATTAATAAAAGTTTTACAGTATTCACGACGTGAATTATTACAATTCACGATGTGAATTTAGGATGTAACGGACAATATATCATAATTAGCCCATTTTCTATTAAATTAATGTGCCCATTATTTTTAGTCCAGTCAAATTTTGGTATAAATGGAATGGCCTAGTTTTTTTTAGCCCAGACTGAATTCACAACGTGAACCTTTTATGATTCACGATGTGAATCCTGATACATTCAGGAACACAGATTAAAGAACAATGAACTCTTTGACCAAAACATTTCTTATTCCTCCACGAAGTGAACATTTTCTCTAGTCCCCTCTCTTTGTGATTGTAGCCGACATTCTCAATATTCTTAGTGTGCTTACGTAATTCATCATCCTAGATAACTTAATCTTCTTCACATTGTTTATTGTTGATCTAATTGCTAGATTTAGGGGTAGGGTTTACTTTTCTTTAGATATTAAAAATTGATACCCTAAATGTTGAAATCGTTGTTGCATGTGCTTGTGATTAGTTTGAAATGGCCTTAGGAGTGAACCCCATTGATATTGTTGACCTGATTTAAGTCCTGATATGTCCGATTCTGGTTTCTGCTTACGAACTCACGACATGAATCCTTAGGGGTTCACGACGTGAATCCTGGATATTTACAGTTTTAAATTAGGTTTAATGCTAATCTTTTGGGATGTCTTTGCTGGTTTGTTTTTTGTTTATTTTTACAGTTATGGCTCCCAAAAGAGAAGTTCCAACCGAGGTTGCTAGTCTCCACCCATTTTACGTCTTTCCAACGAATATGTCACGGGATGTATATACGCGATGGAACAATTGGTTGGGGTGGCTTTACAATCGGGAGATTGCAGTCGCACCCACCATCAACTGGACACGGTTGAGGGAAGTTGGAATCATGGATAGGATGTCCCCGTTTCTGATCAAAATATTTATTGGAAATGGTTATTCGTTCACTTTCTCGTGATGGCTCAACCTTTTTCGCATCCAAGAGCTGGTGTATAAGGAGTTTTGTGTTGAGTTTTTCTCAACAATTACATTCCAAGAGAATGTCGGCGACCCCCATTATCAACAAGCTTTGGTATTCTGTCTTGGGGGTGAGTATCGGGAATGCAGCCTTATGGAATTTTCTTGGAGGGTGGGGATATATAATACCCAAGAGGCTATGACTCCCAATTTTGCCATGATTTTGAGGGATGCAACTAGAGGGTATGAAGATGGTGCTACTGGGTTTGTTTTCTAGCATAGTATTGCCTCTTGAACATTCAACTCTGGAGTATCTCCCGAGAGCAGCATTCGATCTCCTATCCACCGATTACTCCACCGATTTATTACTTTCTCCATCAATCATTGAAGACATGGGGACAAGGTGACAAAGCAGAATTTATTTTTTTATGGTGCATTTTGCAGTCGGGAGTGTGTTGCAACATTCCCTACTTTTTAGCACGCTTTCTGGCTGACTCTGCTGCTAGTTCTCGGCCCAGGAGCCCTATTTGTGGAGGGCACTTTATTACACGTTTAGCCAGTCTTATGGTCTGATCGTTCCCGGCATCACTCGTTCTTTGACTTGCATGGAGAGGAACGAGTTAACTATGGGGTATTTGAAGACGATGAGAGTTGTTAGGAACTTTGGATCTCACTGGGGTATTTTGGCATCAAATGATGAGGGCGGTGAGCAGTCGGGTGACCAACCCGAACCACAGCAAAGGCCTCAGAGACGAAATGTTAGAGGACAAGGAGAAAGAGGGTAGCCAGTACATCCACCTGCACCAATGGTAGGATCACATATTGGGGATGATATGGTTGGGTATTTCGATCAGCTCTCTTTGAGTGTTAATTGGATTGGAGGGACGGTAGAGAATATGGTGCAACATTTCCATGTGGAGTAGCCTCCTCACCTGGGGTATCATTACCCAATTTTCCCGAGGTAGAGAATATGCTGCTCTCTGGAGTATCTCCCGAGAGCAGCATTCGATCTCCTATCCACCGATTACTCCACCGATTTATTACTTTCTCCATCAATCATTGAAGACATGGGGACAAGGTGACAAAGCAGAATTTATTTTTTTATGGTGCATTTTGCAGTCGGGAGTGTGTTGCAACATTCCCTACTTTTTAGCACGCTTTCTGGCTGACTCTGCTGCTAGTTCTCGGCCCAGGAGCCCTATTTGTGGAGGGCACTTTATTACACGTTTAGCCAGTCTTATGGTCTGATCGTTCCCGGCATCACTCGTTCTTTGACTTGCATGGAGAGGAACGAGTTAACTATGGGGTATTTGAAGACGATGAGAGTTGTTAGGAACTTTGGATCTCACTGGGGTATTTTGGCATCAGATGATGAGGGCGGTGAGCAGTCGGGTGACCAACCCGAACCACAGCAAAGGCCTCAGAGACGAAATGTTAGAGGACAAGGAGAAAGAGGGTAGCCAGTACATCCACCTGCACCAATGGTAGGATCACATATTGGGGATGATATGGTTGGGTATTTCGATCAGCTCTCTTTGAGTGTTAATTGGATTGGAGGGACGGTAGAGAATATGGTGCAACATTTCCATGTGGAGTAGCCTCCTCACCTGGGGTATCATTACCCAATTTTCCCGAGGTAAAGTGAGTATCGAAGCCAAGGAGGAGATGGGGTAGGAACTAGTGGAGCTCGGGATGAAGAAGAAGATGATTGATCGCTAGTTTTTTTTTTTAGTTTTTAGTTTCTATTTTGTTTTGTTTTAATTGTTTGGTTTGAACACTTTGTATGGATTGTTTAACAATTGTTGGTTGATTATTATGTTACTTTTATTTTCTTTTTGGTTTTTTGATTACAACTTGCTAAGGAGTCTTGGGAAGGGAGTAAGTTCGAGTCACGAGTCGTGATCGTCTAGTCAAGGGTCGTTATAAGTCTAGAGTTAAGAGTCGAGACCCACAATTAAAAATAAGTGTGGGGTGAGTCGAGAGAGAGGAGGAGATTAGTAAGGAATCATAAAAATTTTGCATTCAAAAGTGTCTTTATCAATTTAGAAATTGAAATGGGATGCCAAAAGTAATAAGAAGTATGGGTAGTTTCATTTTTTTTGGTCGCCTAGTTTTCACAGCATGAGCATACACTATTCACATCATGAGTTGAGTTATTATAGATTCCAGATTCCACATTCATGCGACCTCACGTCGTGAGCCTATATTACTCACGTCGTGAGTTTCCCATTTTCACTGTATTTGGCGTTTTATGGCGTGCATGCTGGTTGTTTCTTCTACTATACAAAGTAGCGTATGCTTTCCCACATTATGGGAGATTGAAGTTTCGATTCATTGCTTTTTTTCTTGTTGGCTCACTTACATATGTTGCAAGTTCAAGTCTAACTTCCTATTTAGATGAAGTTCCATATTCAACATGCACATGTCAACTACACGTTTGGAGTTCGATCTTGCCACTTCTATCACAGGGGAGTATGTTCCTTTTTCTCCCTTTTATTACTTTTAATTTAGTTTATGCATACAATGAGGGCATTGTATGTAATAAGTGTGGGGTAGGGGTCGAAAACGGAAAATGCTAGAAATTATAGGAAATTTTAAATTTTTCATAAGTTTGCAATAATAATCTAATTAGTTCTAGTGATAATAATTTAAACTTAAGTTGCTAGTTTTGCATTAGGATGATCTAACAAGAATTCAAATGTTTAGTTGAGTCAATGTACGTTATAGTGCATTTGTGGTCTCCTTTATTCTAGTGAAATCATGGGACAAAAACACAACCTCGCTTAGTTTGAGGGATGCAATATGTTTAGCAGCCTAAACCTGAAATGTATCTAGGAAAGCTATGTCTTAACCAATAAGGGTTGAGGTTAAGCGCCCCTGCTTAAGCATGTAGGTTTTGAGTGATATATATAAAAAAGTGAGATACGTGTAAAAAAAGGAGAGAAATTACCAAAAGTAAAGAAATTGAAGAATTTTGGAGCATAAAAGTATCAAAGTATGAAGATCAAAGATCGAGAATTCTGAAGTTTCAAAAGTTGAAGATATCAAAATTAAACAAAAACTGGTGAATTCAAAGAAATAAAAGATCAAAATATCAAGAAGTGAATAATTCAACAACTCCATATTGTGGTATCTTCTAAAAAGTTGTAATTCTCTAGTTTATGTATGCTTGGGTGGCTTTACAAAAATACCTTGAGGTTAGAAAGCTTTCTGAGGATGGATTCAGAGGGTTGCATAAAATTAGTGTTGTTCAAATGAAGTGGGTGAGTGTTTATGAGGATTGTGAGTATTTAGAATTGAGGGGGTTACTTAGGAAAAAATTTAGACACAAATGCATGCGTTGAGGTCTTAGCATAATGGCTGAGCTTGAGTTGGGTCGTTCTATGTGATATTGGTAATGAAGGCTTGATTTAATAATTAGATTTACTTGAGAGCAAGCAAAGAACAAGTGTGGGGTATTTTGATATTGCCATATTTATACATATTTTTAGGCAATATTTATTTAAATTTTTATTAATATTTTGGTTATTTGCATAGAATTATGATACTTACAAGGATAAATTCTAATGTGCAGCGAAAGTAAGGCATTTTCGAAGTAAGGGACCAGAATTGACAATGTTTGGAACTTTGGAGGATTGAAGAAAAGAAGAACGGAAAAAATCAACAAAAGACGTACTCACGACGTGAATAATTCATGATTCACGACGTGAGTGGAGAATTCTAGAAGATATGCATGCGGGTAAAAGAGTCCTTGCCGAACACGTTTATCATATATTCACGATGTGAATCCTTATGGTTCACGACGTGAACTCGGGAAATCAGAAAACGATAAATTCCCTTGCCCATTACGACTTGTGAGTTTTTTGGCTGATTGGAAGGTTACCTGAACACGATTTTGAGCAGAAAGAGAATTTTAGAAAAGGCTTTTAACATCAAAATGAGTAAAGGTTCATAATTAGTTAATTAGTTTGATAGTGATGAACATGTTTGATAATTTGATTTGTTTTTGCTTATGAGTAGCTGAATCTAGCAGCTCTTGTCTAGCTAGATGAAGCTTCTGAATTATGTTTTAGCTCAATGACTATTGAATTTGATTAGTTGGTAAATTGCTTGTGTTTGATTATCATTATCTAGCATGTTATTTTAGTTTCTTAGCTGCTTAAATTCATGTTCTGTGTAGCTTAGTAACCATTAAATTACATGAACTTGAAACCTGGTGATTTAGTGAACAATGAATTGCTAGAGCTAGGATCGACCAAAATCATAGATAAGTGATAAAGTAACTAATTTAGTTGTGTTAGAGGACATAATTTATGACTATAATTGTGTTTGCTAGATAAATCTTACATAGCTCACCTGTAATTAATAACTAATTATGTGTTCTGCTTTTGTGTGACCATACAAGGTATTCCATGAATTGGTAAAAAGATTAATAAATTTGGACTTGAATTGCTAATTACATAATAATTGGTGACCAACTTTGATAATCCATAATTATTAGTTAAACATAAATAAAGAAGTGGATTCAAACTAGACAGGATTGTTTTTATTAATTGATTGTATTTTGTGATTTAAGTTCGTCTGGTCTTGCAAAATCAGATAAAACCCTTTCTTGCTCGAAAACTAGGTTAATTTAATATTAGATAAATTAATTAGTTAAAACCGTTCCATAAGATCAACACCCGACTTACCTAACTATTCTATAATTCGATTAGGTACACTGCCTAGGTGCATTTTAGTTAGTTGAGTTAGTTAGCTTATAAATATTAAAATTAGTGGTACTTTTGTGCACATCAATTCTATAGAAACAATAGTATTGTCATGATGTGATTAAGTACACTACATAAATCAATTTTCATGAATTTAATTTTAAAAAAAAACATATCCTTGAATTTCTTACTCTTTGATAAAACTCAAATGGGCCACCACAGTACATTGTACACCAATACGATCTGGTTATATATAACTGAAAGAAGCATGGATTGGGCAGTATTTGAACAAAATAATGGTGAACAAAATATCAAGACTTCCAGTAACATTTGCGATCAAGTTTGCCCAATCTCTTAGATTCCCTGCATTAGTTATAATTCTAAAGGGTTTATAGTTGTTTAGAACTTAATTGAGTGTGATAGTTTTCTTGAGGATCTTGATGCCAACTTTTTTATCTTCACCAGGTATATAAGAGTTGCAAAGTGATATATTTCTTTTTTCATTTCAAATTATAGTATGGTCAATTATTTTTTAAGAGTTAGAATATGTCTCTTTGTATTTTACATTAGGGAGGACTTAAGATGCTTCTTTTTTCCATTGTGTTTTCCGTACCTTAACTCCTTTTTACCTGCAAGCACTTGTTAGTAGGTCTTGCTAACATTTTATATTATTCCTTTCTCCGTGTCAATATTTATTTATTTTCTGTTATAAGGTTCGGTGAGCCAATTAATGTGATTGGTATTAGTAAACATTTTTTGTAATACTTGCTGATGTGCTTGAGGTTGATGGAGCTTATTATGGTATGGAACAATTTAGATTTATATTTGAAAAATGGGATTTTAAATTTTAATACAAACTCACCATTTTTCCTATAAGAATTGCAAAGTTTTATATGATACATGGTTTAATGGAAATCTATAAAGTAACCCTTCAAATCCAAATCCAATAATGATAAAGTAAGAAATCTATTTTTAGGAAGTTAAAGGCTTTGAAGCCATCACCCAATCACATATAGGATGGGTTTAAACTTGATATACCATATATAATAAAATCTTGTCCACCTGTTTTGCTAAATACAAGAAATAGCAATCTACTTTCATTTATTTGTTTATTATAACATCCTACCTAACTGTAGCATTGTGCAAATAGATGAAAGTACATTCCTGTTTCTAGCATTTAGCTTAATTTGAAGTTTTTCTTGCTTGTATGTCGGACCCGTTTTGACGCAGATTTTTCCTGATTTCTTACTACAGATTCATAAGACAGCAAACATCAATTAATAATACTAACATTAGTGTAGGACTTGTTGGTCATATTCATCTAAATCAGGTTTTTAGTTTTTGTTATGTAAAATTGTTGTGAGCATATGATCTTGTTCTAAACTTTTGAGTTCTCATGATATGCAGTTTGAAACAAGTAAGTGTTTTCTATTATCTTGAAGCTGGTGTAGATATACTAATCACATCTTATCAGGCAACTCTTTTTTTAATATAAAATTTTTTTCTTTCTTTTTTCTTATTGAGACATTATATTTTAAAATATTCGTCCGATCATAACTATAACTATGTTCCATATTTCCATGTCAAGTAGGATTTCAAAATATGATGTTGCAATTTCTAAACAAAAGTTGGATGCTATTACAGTAACAACCAATATCAAATATTAAAGAAGGAAAAAGAGGTATTTCTTACAAAATCTTACCCCTTTCCACCCAAACACTTAAATAAAGAAAAAAAACTAAAATAAAAAT